GGCGCCGGCCCCTCGGAACCCCGGCACCAGGCAGCGGGCGAGGCGTAGGGGGTCCCCGCGAGCGCCGCCCTCTGGCCCAGAGCCCTGCCTTCCCGCCCCCCTTCCGAGAGATTGTGGGGGCAAGCGGCCCCTATCAGCCTCCCCAGCCCTGGCCCAGAAAGGACAACACGGGAGATCCCCAGAAATGGGACTCAAAACAGGGCGGGTGAATGCCCCACCCATGCCCCACCCTCCCTCCTGTGCACTCTGCCCACACCCCTCCCATTCCCTCACTAGGGCCTCGAACTGGGCGCCCTGCCTTCCAGAGGATGAGCGAGGGAGGGAACCAACGATGCAGAGTTCCACTGCTGGGGCGTCTGTCCACATTGCCAACCCAGCCGATTTAAACCTTTCCACCCTCGTGGGAGAAGAGGGGCTGTCACAGTGAGAGGTCAGTTTAGGATTTGCCTGAAAGCAGAGGGGCAGGCAGTCCCACCCCCCACCCCACCCCACCCCCGACTCCTAGGCTCCCCAGCCTAGGGGAAGGGGTCCTAGTGTCCGGTCTGGAGGGTCTCTAGCCTTGGGAGGGGGAGCAGAAAGAAAGGCGAGGCCACGCGCAAGTTGAGTGGGGACTGGAAGGATGAGACCCGTGGAGGGCAGTGAGGTGAGGCAGCGGCTTGCATTCAGCACAGAAGGCAGGCCGGAGGCCTGGACTGTCCCAAACAGAACCACAGGTTTGGGCGCGGCCTCGATCCTGTTTCTAAGCAAAAGACAGAGGGACACGTGCCCAGAGACCCACCCCCAATGGGGGGTGAGGGGAGCAGCACCCTCTAAGACATTCTCAATTTAAAAACAAATGAAAAACCGGTCCCGGGTTGATTTTACTTCTGGAACGATTATATTCCTCCTTGTACCTGAGGGTCCTGCTTTTCCATGTGAGGCAGAAGGCATGACATGAGACCTGGGGTTTGGCAGTGAGGGGAGGGACGTAAACCCAGCTCCTCGGTGCCCACCCGGGTCTCCACACGCTGGCTGCCTTCCCTGCAGAGCAAGGACAGGCAGTGCTCAAGACAAGTGGCTACTGTCCACTTAAGAGCTTAATGCTTTTAATTTCTGGCCCTCTGGCCTGTCTGGGTCATGGATCTGTCTTGGCCAGTGGGCATCATGCTACACAATTTCAAGTTAGCTGCTCGGCCCTGCAGCTAAACACCGGATAAATGCCTTGCCTCTGAGCGAGGCAGCTGCTCGGTTGGTTGAACTTTGTGCAGCCCTCATATTTGAAATGGCACGTCCCTCCTCAGAGGGCATAATTGGTTCTCTCTGTCCTCTGCTTTCAGATGGTCCAGGCGTTCGTGGCCTCCAATGCGCGGCTGGGCCCATCTGCTCCCCATCACCCACCTGTCTCCCTCCAGGCAGGGCTCTTCTTCACAGGTAAAGGCAGAGGCCCTTATGAGCCTTTCCTGGATCATTCCAGCCAAGCTCCCTGAATACAACACCAAATCTTGTTCCCAAACTCCACCAGAACCAGCCAGTGCTTAGCACACAGTAGGTCCGCTCAGACTCCAAGTGGGTGGATTGAAGTTGGCATCTGTGATCAGATCAGCCTCAGGACCTGCACATCAGGGCCTCCTAGGGAACAGGCCCCAGCAGGGTTACAAGCCCCAGGAAATTTGCCCTTCTGGCCAGTAACGGGGCTCAGAGCCAGTCTGCATTTCTTTGTATTAAAACCAACCAGGAGGTTTTCCATCTTGAGATATCATCAAAGATAATTTTACAATCCCTAATTTGGAATCTTTTTTTTTTTAAGTGAGAACATGGAGGAGGAACTGGGAACCGTCCTTTGCAATAATAATTAGGAATGAAACAAAAGGAGATTTATCTCAGGAACTAAAAGGACAACTGAACACACATAGCTAATTTTGCTCCCTCTGAAAACCCTACTAAAACTACCAAAAGACATTCTGTAAAGCCGTAAACCACCAAGGACCTGGAGATTAGGGAAACAACAAAATGTGGACAAAATGTGGCCCAAGAAGGCAAATGGACAAGGGATGCCCGGCCTCTGGCCTCGTGGAGCTGAGTCCTAATCCCGCCGTGGGTGAAGCCAAAAAAGAGAACCTCCAGAGGCCAGCCGAGTGGCTCAGTTGGTTAAGAGCGAGCGCTGAGCAACAGGGTCACCGGTTCGATTCCCACATGGGCCAGTGAGCTGCGCCCGAGCTGAGCTGCTGCTGAGCTGCCAACAGGTGGCAGGATGGCTCAGCTGGTGAGAGCACGCGCTCCTAACAACAAGGTTTCCAGTTCGACTCCCGCATGGGATGGTGGCTACGCCCAACCGCAACTAGGATTGAACACAGCACCTTGAGCTGAGCTGCCCTGAGATGCCAACGGGCGGCCGGATGGCGACTGGACGTGAAGCTGAGCTGGCTGCTCCCTCCACAACTAAGATTGAGGGACAACAACTTGGCTGTTCCCCTCCCCCAATTGCCCAATAAAAAGAACCTTTAAAAAAAAAAAAAAAAAAAGAACCTCCAAAGGCTCAGAACTGGTGGGGCCAGGTACCCATGGAGGCAGGACAGGCAGCTCAGAGCAGCGGAGCACACAGATCCTAGATGGCTGCCCTGGTGACTGCATGGCCAGCTACCCTGAAGGGGTATTCCCCAGGGAGGGTGACGCAGGGGCTCTGGGCCTGGGGGACTTCATGAATGGTGACAGAGTGGTACCCTGCACTCTGAAGGCTGAGGATCTCACTCAGCCCCCATAGCAGCAGTATCTTCCCAGCAGGAGACTGGAGGAGTCTCCTTCTCTGCAGGCTGTAGCAGATGTAGCCTAAAGATTTGACTTTGCTGCTTCCCAGCAGAAAGCCACACCCCAGTGGACAAGCCCACCAGTTCTCAGGGCCTCCAGTCAGCTCTGCAGGGCCTCTCACAGTGAGCGAGCAACCCAGACGAGATGGCATCTGAGGAAAGCCTGTAAGAGAAAGAGCCCCCACACAACCCAGGGCAGGGAGGGCGAGGGTAACACTGAGGAAACAGACATTAGGCAGGACGGAGAAAATGTCAGAAATAGCCTCAGAGACAGCAGAGAAGATATTGCATCCATGAACCAAGAGCAGATGCTATTTTAAGGAGAACACTTAGAGAACAAAAAAGGGCTGGAAGATTAAAAGCATGAGAACAGAGACAAAAACCTCAACAGACAGTTTGGAAGACAGACTAAGGGAATGTCCCAGAATGCAAAGCAGAAAGACAAAGAGGAGAAAAAGAAGAAAAAAAGGATGAAAGAATTAGATAATCAGTTCATGAGACCCGGTATCCACACAAAAGGGAGGGAAGGAGGGAGGCAGGTCATCAATTATTTAATTCAAGAAATCTTCCCAGAGATGAGTCTCCAAGTTCTCAGCACAACGGATGGAAACTGACCCACATAAAGGCATAGTATCATGAAAAACAAAATAGTGAGGACAAAGAAAAGTTTCTCAGGTTTCCAGATCCATAAAAAAGAGCAGGAATGAGAACGGGCTTCAGAACTCTCCACAGCAAGGGGCAGAAGCTAATCGACAATAGAGCTGAAGGAAAATGTTTTCTGGCCTAGAACCCTTTATTGAGACAAATTAACAATCAAATGCGAGATTAAAATAAAGACATCTGCATATGCAAATTCTCAAAAAAATTTACTTCCCATGCACCGTTTCTCAGGAAGCTACTAGAGGATGTGCTCCAACAAGACAAGGGGGGAACACATGCGGGCACACAGGGGCTAGATGAAACAGTGGACCCAGTAAGAGGGGAAAAGGAGGGGAATCCACAAGATGGAAGAGAAGGGAGATCACAGAAGCGCAGCTGTCTGATTAGAGCAGGGGGTTAATACATCTCACTGTCTAGGACACAGACATGCTGAGGGCTGTCATCACCAAAACGCCTCTGGCATTGTACCGCCCTCTTAACGCCAGAGAACCTGGCCCAGATTCTTATCTGTACCTGGCCTGCTCTCCTCTCCAGGCACTGCCTCCTGTATAAGCTGAAGATAGTCATTTCACCCCTCAGAAATGTCCCACTTTGTCCTCTTAAACAGGATGGTGACCACGAGCGAAAACAGAATATGCAGATGAGCCTACCCTGCCCCCAGCTACCACCAAAAACCACGTGCCAGGCATCGCAGGTGGGGTAGGTCTTCCGTTCTCCAGGAAGCCCTCACAGCCTTGCCAAGAGCCTCCTAAGAGACGCCATGGTCCACTCAGAGCCAGTGGGCTCAGTGACTCCCTAAAAAGGGCTCTTGTAAACTCAAACAGCAGAGGCCAGACTGGGCCCCCAAGACTGTTGACCTTTGTCTTCTCCTGGGCTCCTCCATCTAAGTTCAAAGTAGCCACAGACTACTAAAGGATGCTGTGGCTACTTCTTTATTAGTCATTGCACAGAAGTAGATGATGACGCCACAGTAAAATGTTTGAGGAAAACAAGTTATAAAGGGACTTATCTTTCCTTGTCCATCTTTTTGTTAGGTCCACAGGTGGCCATCTGGTGGGCAGCTGGACAGTATATTTGGCACTCGTTACTGGGCCTCCTAGTTTGGTCTTTTAATCCAACAGAACAAATGATAAGGTCCCTCTGTTAAGAATGGATCTCCTGGGCCGGCCGAGTGGCGTGATGGTTAAGAACTGGCTTGGGACGCCAGAGGGCCCCAGTTCAGATCCCACATATGAGGGCCAGTGACACTGCCCTCTACAGCTAAGATGCTGAACAACAGCTCGACCTGGAGCTGGGCTGCCCTGAGTCGCCAGCGACAGCGTAAGCTGCAGCCCCTGCTGCAGTGGGTTGCCATGGGCTACCGTGTGTAGCAAGCAGCCAGCGTGAGCGGCCAGCAGCCGCAGTGAGCCGCCGTCCAGAAGCCGGCGACTGATCTGCCTCATCCGGGAAGAGCGCAATGATGGTGCCAACTTGGGCCAGTGAAGCAACATCCTCCACAACTAGACTGAAGAACAAAAAAAGGACAGCAACTTGTCTGTTCCCCTTCCCCCGATTCCCCAGCGCTGTTCCCTTCCCCCCAATTCCCCAATTTAAAAAAAAACTTTTAAAAAAAAAAAAAAAGAATGGATCTCCCCTCTCTCCTGCTACACATGCATGCACCAATAATTATATGACACGTCAATATATCAATTTTCCCATGTCCCCACCACCGCCCAGGTTTGCTCACCATTGTTGGATATTAAGGGTTTCCCCTTTGGCCGCAGTCTGAACACGCTAGGACACTGTGGAGAAGTGCCTACCCACAGGAATCACTTCCACGGAGGGACATCCCACGAGGCCTGGGGGAACGTGTGACTGAAACAACCCATTCTCATTATTTTCCTCCGTGACCTCACCCCCTCCCCTGCTCTGAAATCGTGGCATTTCAGAGCTGGAGGCAACTCCAGAGGCCCTTTGGTACAGTTCCCATGTTACAGATGAGAAACACAGAGGCCCGAGCACCCAGGTGCCTGCCAGGGCCCCCCACCTCGTGCGCGTGGGCAGCAGCTCCAGACCTTGAACCCAGCCCCAGACTGCAAGCAGCTCAGTGCCCCTGGCCCCCTGGCACGCGGCCTCCTATCTCACACTGGGGGGCAGGCAGGTGCCTCTGCCATGTCACACGCACGTACTTCCAGAATTGATATTTTATTGAAGAGCATGGAGCTCTATCTCAGTACCCAGTTGCTTTCAGTTCTGACATTTATCTTCTCAGGGAGGGTGAGCCAGTTGCACATCACCCCATCTCTCCTCCCACGTGGATGGGAAACGGCAGAAGGAGAACCAAGCGGCTCAGGGTCCCTGTCCATATTATGCATATTTCACCCTCTTTAGGCTGCTGGATAACGCAGCTGCTTTAGGAGAGCAGAGATGGCCTGGGGACATGTGGGGGGCGCGACCACAGGGTCCCCAGGCACCGTCCGGGTTCTAGACCAGGGCCAGAGGCTGGAGCCCAGAGCCTCCTAGAACAGATGCCACGGTCCACCTGGGGCCGGGGGTTTCTCCCCATCTTCTCAGACCTCCTTGTTTTGAGTGGGACCCATGCGTATCTTTGAGCTCAGCCTGTGATTGCACAATAAAACAAATTAAAAATAGGAAAATCCATCCGCGTCGTGTGTCTGCTGAGGCACAGTGCTGTCAGATTGCTAGGCAACCCCAGGCAATCCTGTGGGAAGAAGGCTGGCTCAGCCTGCTCCACAGAAGTCGCACTCCTGTCCCTTTGTGTGGATGAGCTCAGCTGACTCTGAGCAAAGTCTGGAACAGACGGGAGACGCCTCAGCTGCAGGTGCATACACCCGCCTGGACCGGTAGACTTGCTAGAGGACACAGAACACTGGGGTGGCCACAGGATGAGGGACATCTGGACACTCCATCCGATTTCCCTGTGTCCCAACCTCCAGGTGTTCACAATTGTGTAGGCGAAACACCTGAATTTTAACTGATTTCTCCCCCCAGTTTTCTTCATCATCTTCAACAAGAGGTGAAAGTAAGCCAAGCTTAGAAAGCGAGAGCCAGAGGAGGAGAAATGAAAGACGGGTGCACGGCAAGAGACAGGCGGAGAAGTGGGGAAGCCGGGGCCGGGAACAGGCTTGGCGGGCGTGCTGCCCTGAGGCCGGGATGGACGCACGCGCTTTCTTCTGGGGTTCAGGCAGACCGTAATCACGTAAAAGTGTTTGTAGATGTGAAAACACTGACTAACATAGTAAAATGCTTTTAAATGGAAAAGGCGGGGACATGGCATCCCTAAAAACAGCTCTTTTCCATTGCACCAGCAGTTCTCAACCTGTGGGTCGCGACCCCTTGGGGGGTCAAACGACCCTTTCACAGGGGTCGCCGGGTACTCGTATGTGGGCGTGTCTGCATGTGGGCCTGGAGACAGATAGAGGAGCGGTGTCTCCGTTCCTAAGACCATCGAAAATATGTGTTTTCCGATGGTCTTAGGCGACCCCTGTGAAAGGTTGAGAACCGCTGCATTAGAGCTCAAGGTCTTCAGAAGGGGAGAGGGTAAAGCCATGAGCGCTCGTCCCCCTGGGGATGTGCAGACGGCCTAGGGCCAGGCAGCACGTGCCTTCGTGTTCTGGAGCTGCCATGCACATAACCGGGCCTCACACAATGGAAACTGATTCTCTCACTGTCCTGGAAGTCAGAAGTCCAAAACCAAGGTGTCGGCAGGACCACCCTGCCTCAGAAA